AAGTGTCCATGCCTCAGTGATGAGTCAGCTGAAGAGAGAGCTCCAGTTAGCTAGCTGACAGGGCATGTCAGATGGAGAGGACAGCCTGTGCAAAGGCCCTGTGGCAAAAGGATGGTGGGCTCAAGGCATTAAAGAAGACCAGAGGAGAGGGCATCGTTTAAATTAACATGACACCAGAGAGATGACAGGGTTAAACTGATGTCACTAGTACGCTTACTGAGTGCCAGGAATCTTGCCCAAGGTTGCAGGTACAACATTTGATTTAATTCTTACTGTTGATTCTCAGCTAGGGGCAATCCCTCTACCCCCAGGGTCATTTGACAATGCCTGGGGACATTCCTGGTAGCCACAACTTAGTGGAGAGGCTGCAGGTGTCCAGAAGGTAGAGGCCAGCTGTACTGCTGCACACCCCGGGGTGCACAGGGCAGGCCCAGGACAGCAGGACTCAAGACAGACTCTTGTATTTCCCACCTACGAGGTGGGCGGTTGTCACGACGATGATGATGGTGGGGTCTCAGGACTCCCGATTTCCCTGGCTCGTGTCCTCCCTATGTCCACTGACCCATACTTGGGGGACTCGGGAGTTCCTGTCCCCCTCCCCTCCTGGGACCGCATGCAGCCTGGGCGTTTCCTACGTCTGTGCCCCAGGGTCTGTAAAATGAATCTGTCACCTGGATTTTCTCCTCCATGCACATGACTTGCTGCTCCAGGTGACACATTTATTCCATATCTGCCGGCCGCTCTTTTGCCCTGGGACGGCCGCTGTCAGGTTGCTTTGCCTTCATGTGCTCCGGGGTCACAGAGGCCGTTGTCATCCCTCCCTGGAAGGCTGTGGGGACTCTTTGAAGAGTCCCTGGATTTGCACACTGCGTGGCAGTACCCTGTACATCACACTGCTACTTCACGCTCTTCCTTTCTTTTTCAGTCCTGGGGATGGGACCCAGGGCTTCGCATGCAGGTCAAGCGCTGGGCCACCCAGCCACCCTCTGGGCCCCTCCCTGCACTCTCCTCTCACCTGGGGGGGGCGCCTCTCCGGGGCTCCTGCCCTTGAGTCAGGCTCAACCCCTACAGTAGTTCCAGGGTGTGAAGAGGGAGGCGCGCAGGTGGGGTGGGGAGCTGGCCCTGGACTTCACTCCCTTATTCTGTAAACATCTCACCAGGGCCTCTCTAGGCCAGGCCCCGCAGTGGGCACTGGGGACCCAGCGGTGCCCGCCTAGGGCTCACCTGCCCGTGATGGGGGCAGTCAGCAGGAAGGTGACCGTGCCAGGCATCTGTGCTACAAAGAGAAATAAGGCCACAGAAGAGGGTCAATGGCCATTGGGGAGCCCAGGTCCCTTTGGGGAGGGTTGGTGGCCAGAGAACGTGAAGATGTTGGGCTGCTGTGTGAGTAGCGTTCTGACCAGAGTGTGAACCGGGGCAGCCGGGGATTGGGGCTCTACTGGGAGGCACTGAGTCTCGTGACTGTCCCTCTGCCTGGCTCTGAGTGTGTGTCTGCCCTGCTCCCCTGAAATGTGTCTTCCTCGCCGTCTCTATCCGACTCCTTGAACCACAAGGAGAGGGGAGGAGGAAGGGACGTCGGTGAGTGGCACTGGTGTCTCGTGACCCCGGGGGATGGCTGGGCCCCCCCTTGGCAGCAGGGCAGGTGGAGAAGGCCAGGTGCAGGGCCCCCTGGGAGTTATTCTTCGGGCAGGGGCTGCTGTGGGCCAGGCCTGAGCGAGGCCTGTACCTGGTCCCAGCCCTGGTGGAAGTCCCAGGGAGGGGAACAGCTCTTCTGACGGCCGACAGGAGGCCCTGCCCTTGGACAGGGACCAGAAAGTGCTTCCAGAGCCCCAGACAGAGCCTGTGTGGGGATGTTGACGGGCAGCAGGAGGGAGGCCGTCTGAAGGAGGTGTGAGGCGAGTGGGGAGGGGTGTTGGCAGCTGCCACCAGCAGGGAGGTCCCTGAGGGTGCCCCTGAGGCAGAGGTGGATTATGGGGCCTGTGTAGCTGGGCGACACCCCCCACCACCACTTTGTGCTCACCCAGCACCCTACCTGCCGGTGGGGCACTTGTGTGTGGCCAGGCTGGGGAAGAGGGACCAAGGTCTGTGGCCCTTTCTCCCCAACTGAACCCAGTCCCTCTCTCCAACCACACCCCAGGCCCCATAGCCAGCAGCTGGAGGGGCCAGCTGCCAGTGTCAGATGCCTCGTTGAACCCCAGGGCTGGCTGGTGTCCCCACCTGCTTGCCTTGGTGTCCTGTGTCTCCTGCCTGGATGGCCTGCTGGGAGCCTTCAAGTCTGTCCCCTGCTTGGCCTCAGAGCCCACAGGCACTGTAGCCAGGAGGGGTGCTCAGTGGCCAGTAGCTGCTTGACTTGTTGCCAGCGCAGCAGGGCGGTCAGGCCAGGAGCCTCTCCTGGTGGGAACCCTGGGGCCACAGCTGCCCAGGAGGGAGGACCTCAGGACGACGGGGCCTTTGGACTTCTCCTGCCTGCAGTATGACACCCCTCCCTGTTACCCTGCTGGTGTGTGTGTGTGTGTGTGTGTGAGAGAGAGAGAGAGAGAGAGAGAGAGAGAGGGAGGAGGACCCAAATACTGGGGAGGCGCCTGCTCGTGCAGGTTTGATCCCCCAGGGCTGGGGTCCCCTATGGAAACGGTCACTTTTCCAGCTTCCTGGAATAATTGTGAGAATACAAGTACAAGGTGTCTGAACACCACCCCAGCATAACCGTTTCCCAAGGTCATCACTCGCTAACGTTTCTGGAACATTTGCTCTGGTGCCAGGCAGTATACCAAGAACTTCTTTAGTTGTCCATCGCGGTACCTCTGAGATAGGTGCTGTAGACCTCTTTCCCACTCACAAACAATTCATTCAGAGACATGAAGCAACTTGCCCACAGCCGTACAGCCAGTTAATGACAGGGTCAGAATCGGGGCCCAAGGGATCTGGTTTTAGAGCCACCTTGAAATTGTGGTAAAAGGAAGCTAGGACAGGGTCACTGTTCCTCCCTGTCACAAAGGAGGATGTCTGGTGAAGTGAGCCAGAGGCAACCACTTGCAGGATGACCTTAGGTGGGGAGGACTGGGATGCCTGATGGCAGCCTGGCACAGCCAGCAGTGGGAGCCAGGGTGATCCCGGGCAGCTTGAGGGGACCGGGTTTGAGGGAGGCAGAGCTTGGTGTGGGATGGGGGACAGGACAGGTCACTGGGGCCTGACTGGGAGGAGGTGTCATTTGACCCTTCAGGTATAAGAGGCACTGAAGGTTCCCGCTATGGAGCTGAGTGTCAGTGGGTGATGAAGCTGGTCCTGGCTTGTGAGGTGGGTGGGGGGACAGGCATCCAGGGACTTCTGGGATGAGGGGTCTGGGCTAGGCTTGAAGGTGGCTGTGGTTGGGAGAGGAGAGGACAGAAGTGAAGGACTATCTTGTATTTGGAGGTACAGGGCTTGGGGGACCCCGCAGCTCCAGGAGCTGGGGTGCTTCCTGGGAAATGGCTCCATCCAGGGTGAAGGTCAGGGCTACGTTGCTGAGAACTGGCCCGTCTGGGTGGACCTGAGTGGGACCAGCAGGCCACCCCAGGAAGGCACCAGGGCTTTATTAGAGGGGTTGTGCACATTTGTGGGATGGGAAGAGCCACTGGGGAAGGAAATGGAGCAGAGGCCACCTTATCACTCCACCCCGCCACCTCTGAAATGGAGCAGGTGACGGTCTGAGGAGAGGGCGGGAGGAAGGATTGGAGAAATAGCGATGGCAGAGGGAGCAGGCAGCAGGAGGCCTCTGGGACACAGTGCCTGCTCTCCCAGCCTCTCTGTGGTGTGCGGCTGGGCTACTGGCCCTTGGAGGAAGGTGAGCTTGAGGGAGGGCACCAGAGAGGGGGCATCTGGCTCAGCGGAGTGGTCTGGTCTTGGTGTTCCTAAAAGTGACTCAAGGCTCCATGGTTAGATCCCAGTGCTAATCAGGACAAGGTGACAGGCCTGCCCAAATGGCTTTATACACAGTAAACTGACGGAGAGATTTCTGAGCCAGCTGTGGCCCCAGTCTGCCTCCTGCTTCTGTTCCTGTCCTTGGCCCCAGACTCTCCCTAGCACAGTGGGAACTTTGAGAGACAGTGAGTATCTAGCACAGCCTTTCCCCAGAGCTTGTGATCTGGGACCTACACGCCTCTGGCACCAGCACTGTCTATAAATACGCAGCGGGTGGATAATGGGAGCCCAGAGATGCTAACCCGGGACCTCCAGACCTCGGCTCCACTAGATGCACCCCAGTAGCCAGCTCTCTGCTGAATTCTTCCTTGGAGAGTCCTTTAGAGTCTTTTCCTGTCAACCTGTAATCTGGAACAGCTCAGAATTCCCCCCTGGCTTATCCAGTCTTCTCTAGAGGGTCGGAAGAGTTTCCCACAATCCTTTGGTACTTTGACATTGGCGTCTAGCGATGCCGTAGAGAGGATGAGCTTCTGAGTGCTGTTGGAGGCCAACTGCTTTTAGCAGCTGAAGAGTGTCGTGACCCTGGTAGTGAAGGGGTGGGTGCAGACATAGGGGAGTTCAGGGCACTGAGGGTGCTCAGGAGAAGTGACTAAATTAACACGACACCAGAGAGATGACAGGGTTAAACTGATGTCACTGGTACCCCTTACTGAGTGCCAGGCATCTTGCCCAAGGCTGCAGGTACAACATTTGATTTAATTCTTACTGTAGGTTCTCAGCTGGGGACAATCCCTCTACCCCCGGGGTTATCTGGCAATGTCTGGAGACATTTGTGGTAACCACAACTTACTGGAGAGGCTCCAGGTGTTCAGAAGGTAGAGGCCAGGTGTGCTCCTGCACACCCCAGGGTGCACAGGGAGGGCCCAGGACAGCAGGCCTCAAGGCAAACCTGCATTTCCCACCTACGAGGTGGGCAATTGTCCCGTTGATGATGATGGGGTCTCAGGACTCTCAATTTCCCTTGGCTTGCGTCCTCCCTACGTTTCCCCACTAGCTCTGGGCTCTGGGGTCAGAATCTGCCATGACCAGTTTTGTGCCTCCAGGGTGGTGTAGTGGATGATAGGAGCGACGATTCCGTGTCCGTCTCTACCTTGAGCTTCGGTGTGAACAGACCCACCATCTCCTGCATCTTTGACTGTAAGTGATTCTTGGTGGGACCTACAGAGGTGATGTGGGTGCACACCCTATACTTCCATTTGCATGGGATTAGGTGGGCAGGTGTGTACATCGGGGCTCTGGAGAACCGAGTCTATGTGCTCTCTGATCAGTGTCTTTAGGCATGTGTGCACATGTATGTCTGTGCACGTGTGTGTCTGTGTGTGTGCATGTGTGCACGTGTGTGTGCACGTGTGTGTGCATGTGTGTAAGAGTGGGCATTCACACTGTGCCTTGTGAGTGCCTGCTACCTATTTGGCCTCTGCTCCTCCCTGTCCTCCTCTGTCCCTCCCGATTCCTGCAGCTCTAGTCTGACCCCAGGATGCAGCACTCAGTTCTGCCTTGGAGCTGTGATTCATCCTCCCGAGAAGTGGCCTATGTCCCTTCTGTCGTTCAGCCCCTCTGTCTGCTGTCCTTGGAGAGCAGACTCCCCTCCCCTCGAGCCCCAGCAGTTAGACCCCATCAACCCCTCACTCTGGTGTCTCTGTTTCTTCTTTGGTGAAGATGGGAATCGCTACCACCTACGCTGCTACATGTACCAGGCCCGGGACCTGCCAGCGATGGACAAGGACTCTTTTTCTGGTAGGTGGGACAGAGGGAGGAGCACCGGGGACCGTGGGCTGAGAGCTGAGATGGAGGAGTCAGGCCTGCAGGCAACAGGGGATGTGGCCCGAGGCATCCCTTGTGGGGGGTGGCGGCTGCGTCTGCTGGATGTCATTGCTCGGTCTCGTGGCCTCCTGGTTGTCAGGTGCAGCAGCCCTTCCTCTGGAATCTGCTTGACTTCTTTGCAGGGTTTGGCCTGGCTGACCATCCCCTCTTTCCTGAAAGCCCCCCAGGCACGGCTTCCAGGCCACACCCTCTCCAGGGTCTCCAGCGGCGTCCTTCTTCTCTGCTTGCTTCTTGGCGTGGGCTGCAGTTGCTCTAGTGGCCCATCCCGTGCAGACCCAATCCTTGAGGGGCCGCCGCTCCCAGGTCCAGGCTCCTCTGCATTTCCTGCCTTGGTCCTGGGGTTCAGAAACCCTCCATCACATGGTTCTGTGGCTTCTGACACCCAAATCTCTCAGATCTGTTGCCTTGTCTTCAGCATCTCACTGTCACATTACGCTGGCCTTGCCCCTTCTTATTCAGGCCACTTGGAGGCCTCGTGGCTTGCCTGCCCTCAGCATACCTGGGCACATCGATCATCTGCTTTCAAAAACCCTGACAGATGGACCCCCACTCGCCAGCCTGCCCCTGTGGCCCTCACTTGTTTCATCTGGGGCCCTTCCCCTCTCTTCACTAGCTCCAGTCCATCGGCCTTCGTCTGTTTGCCAGCCTCTTCCAGGTGCCTGACTTTTGCATTTAGCATCCTCTCTGCCTAGAGTGCATTTCCTTCCTAATCTAAACCAGGTGAACTCCTAGTTGCCCTTCAAGACCCCCCGGGATGCCCTTCTCCAGGATGAGATGGTTTCTCCTTCCACAGGACTTGGCTTCCTCTCTGGTGCCTCTCTCAGAGCCCTTACCTGCTGCATAGATGAGTTGGGGTCTTCCTGCTGCAACCTTCTCACTTTGACCATGACCCCCTTGCCCCGCTCCCAGGAAAGGGCTTTGTCTTCCCCTGAACCTGTAGCACTGGGCACCTAAGAATGACTACTTTCTGAGCACTCCCTATGCCCAGGTAGTACTCACAGATGCAACCTTGTGAGGGCTGTGCCAGGGGCAGGTCAATATCTGCAGCGATTTCTAACTCTGGGATACACATCCGGGCTCTGGCCATTGGAACTTACTTTGAGAAATAAGAAGGGGTCTAGTTCACCGCCTTGCTTTCTCTCCTGGGGAGGCTGTGAAGGGGGAGGGTGCAGGCAGCAGGTTTGTGCAGGGTGGGGGCTCAGGTGGAGGGCCCCTTGTCCCCTGTGTGCCTAGTTGGCCCAGGACCCTATAAGTCAGGAGCTCCTCCAAGGGACCAGTGTGGGAAGCCAGTGCTCAGTCCAGGGACTGCAGGGCAGGGTCAGCCTGGCATTGGCCTGCGGAGACGTCACACTTTCCATCCTGGCCCCACCCCCTCCCCCAGATAAACATCCCTTGAGCTTTGCGGGCACTGCCCAGGGCTTCCTCAGAGGCCACTGGCTTCTGAATGAAAGGCCCAATTGAGCAGCTGATGGAAGGGAAAACAGCAGCCAACGCGGGGAACCTATAAAACCCAGAGTGTTTATTTTCACTCCCAAACCCTAAACCAAAGCAATCTCTCCCCTGGAACTGACCCTGGGGCGGCTGGCGGCCCGAGGCTGTGCGCGGCCACCGGCTGGCATTTCTCTGAGGAAACTCATGTGTGAATCCGGAATGTCTGGGGCCAGGGGAGGGTCTAACTCTGTCTGTCGCTGGTAGCACCTTCCAGCTGCCGGCTGCTGTCTGGGGCGGAGGGCCCTCCCCGGGGCATGCTCCTGAGCCTGACCTGGGCCTTTCCTGTGCTCCTGTGTCCCCACGGACTCTCCTTGTCCCTCTGCGGTGGACTCTGGAGCTGTCCAGAGGCAGGGGCTGTATCTGTGCTTCCTCCCTGGCTGAGGAGTTGAGGGATATGCAGGAGTTGCCCAGAAAACACTTCTGGAACAATATCGAACTCGGGAGAAGGAGATTTTTTTTAAAAAAAAATAATTTCTTTATTTTTTATTTTTAAAACTTGTTCTAGTTAGTTATGTATGACAGTAGAATGCACTTGGACACATTGTACACGAATGTGCTGCAGAGTCACACCATGTAAACGTGTGTATCATGTGTGTCATCATGTGTGTACATAGGGTGATAATGGCCATCTCATTCCACCCTCTAGAAGGGGCGTTTTGGGGTGCTGTGACCGTCCAGGCAGCCTGGGGATTCCCCTTCAGGTGGGGCTTGAACAGATAACCAGCCTGGGTCCTCTGCACCCATGGAAAGTGCCTGTGGTGTGTGTGTGTCCTGTACAGCAGTTAGACCTACACATTGTAAGATGCTCTTAATTCCAGTGGCTTCTTTTGGATATGGGGGTGGGCCTGTGGGTGCCTGGCCAGTGTCTCTGGTATGTGCTGGCTTTGCCTTGAACTGAAAGCCGTGACTAGAGAGGACAGTGACATCTGTGTAGCACCCAGCTCTGCCTTGCCTGCCCTGGAATTCTGGAGAGGGTAGCGTGGTTTCCCTGAACACACATCAGCTCGGCGGCTCTTCTTGACAGACTGATATTTCTCAAAGGGTTCCCTGTGGGAAGCTCTCTGCTCCACCAAGTTGCTCCCCAGATGACTCTGCTTTGTCCCATCCCCCAGAGGAGAACTTGGTTGGGTGGCAGAGCTGCCACCCAGATGCAGCACTGGCATGATGCTATCACGTTCCAGGAGATGGCCCTTAGCTGGAGGAGACCAGAAATATTTCTTTGAGGGTCTCATGGGGCTCGACGTGGCTTCCCGAGTCACATTGTTCATTAACCCGTGGCTGGGGTGGGTGTCAGGGCAGAAGCTCCCGTGGCCCTCTTTGCTGGCCCCATGGCTCCTGGGAGGAAAAGGCTGTGCAGTTGGGTGGTCCTGAGAGAGGTTCCTGCCAGGCTGGGCCACAGTGACATCTGATGAATGGCTGCTACACCGTGGCCTGGGGACCAGAGCTTCAGTTTTCCATACAGATGAGGACTCTGTCCTGAGTGGGGTGGGGGAATTCTTGCTTTGGGGCTTCCTGCGTCTGGATTCTGGTCACGCCCTCCGGACCCCTGTCCTTTTTAAGCAGGGCTTTTTGTTCGGGTTGGCTCCATCAGAGGTATTCCGCCCCGGAAGCATAAGGAGGTGTTTTCCCCAAATGCATCAGAGGCTGGTGAAATGCTCCACTGAAGAAGATTCCTGAGAAGGAGAGAGACTAGGAAGCAACTTCCTGTTTCCCAAGTGCCCGTGCTCTTTGGTGTCTCTGCCTGCTGGGTGCCTTGACACCCTTGGCTGACCTTGATCCTGGTCTGTGTTGATTCCTTCCTGATTCTTGAGGCTCAGGTAGGAGACCACCTCCAGGAACCCTGACTCGATGTCACCAGGCTACTCTGGGGACCCCTACACCTTGCACCTGTGTGCTCCACTATTAAGTCACACACAACCTGCGCTCTAACTCTTGTTTCATTGCTGTTTGATGATGCTAAGAGCTATAATTGGTCTCCTTCATCTTCCCATTCTTAGGTCAGTGATAACCTACCCACAACTGTATATAAAATGAATGATATATTATCAATAACACCAGAGCAAACAGCTTCGTACAGATAGTGTTTGGCTAATTTGGGTCATTCCCAGTAATATGGAAAAGGGGGCCTGCATGGCTTTATGTTTTATGGGCATACTTCCCAATTACTTTTCTGAAGGTTGCTGAATTGCTTCCAGCGATAAAGAATACCCCATACTTCTTCAACTATTTGCCAACACCGAGTGTTACAATTTTGAATCATTTTTCTTAACTTTTTGCTGTCGGGTAGTTTTAATTTGATTGCTGTGATCCACTCCATGGTCTCCTTCCAACAAGTGTGACATGTAGGAGCACTGGACTTGGGAATTGCAGGTCTTCCTGGGGGCAAATCTCCCTCTTTGGACCAAGAGTGTGACCCTACCCATCCTGTTCTCCACATTGGTGGTCTGGGCTGGTTGGTGGAAAGGTCCCACCGGGGAGCTTAGGATGTTGAATGCAGAAGGTCCTCCTTTGGAGCAGCAGGGCTCAGTCCGAACGGCCAGATGCAGGGCACTTGGATCCAGCCAAAGAATTGTCTGCCTGGAGTTTGACATGGTGGCTCATGCCTGAAATCTCAGAGGCTTGGGAGGCTGAGGCAGAGGATTGCAAGTGTGAGGCCAGCTTCAGCAACTTAGTGAGGCCCTAAGCAACTTAGAGAGACCCTGTCTCAAAATAAAATATTAACAAAGGGCTGGGAATGTGGTTCAGTGGTTAAGTGCCCCTGGGTTGAATCCCTGGTACTCCCCCCCACCCCCAAATAATCAACAAACCTGCCTGGGACTTGGTGCAATCCCTGGCTCTATTGTGATGGGGATGCTGGTGGAATCCTGTGTGTGTGTGTGTGTGTGTGTGTGTGTGTGTGTGTGTGTGGCTGGAGTCTCTCTAGGGCAGCTGTGGTCCTCAGAGAGAACCCTTCCAAACATGCCCCCTGGCCCGGGGTGCACAGCCCTGAGGAGAGCCCGAGGCTGGGATGAAAGCGAGAACCCAGTCCTCCACCTTCCCTCCTCTTGGCTTCTCTGCAAGAGGATGTGTCTGTGAGTCCATCTGACCACCTTGCTGGAGCAACAGTGCCCCCCTCCTGGTTTCGCTTTTTGGGGGAGGGGCTGGGCCCTCTGCGGGAGAGGCCAGGCCCCAGCACACAGTGGCCCAGTGTCTGCGGCCGGGGGCCTCCAGGCCTGCTCTTTACAATGTCTTTGTTGTGTTTTTTCTCCCGTGGGCGGCTGGGGGCCGTGTGTGGGTCTGGGTGAGTTTTGTTTGAAAGCACCCACCCCCCCAGGGCTGAGCTCATTGCCTGGGCTGCTGGGGCTGCTGGAGGGAGCTGGCCTGCTCCGGGGGCCGGCGTGGGGGGTGCTGCCAACACCAATACGGCATGCACGGCCGCCACAATGTGCAATTGTGATCTTTGTGTAAACGCGGTCGGTCTGGGGCCCGCACGCTTATAAAAATAAAGCGTGGGGAAGCACGGGGGGTGGGAACAAAAGGGGCTTTTTCGCCGGCCCTCTAATATGGTTTTATTTATGGGAACGCACCCTCCTTCCCTTACTGGAACTGGGAGAGGTTCTCTGCCGAGCTTGGAGCTGATGGTATCACAGCCAGACGGTTTCATTAAATGCACAGACGCCGCCACTGCCGACGGGCCCTGCCAGGGGCAGAGGACTCAGCCAGCCTTGCCAGGGCCAGTGCGTGGAAAGGGGAGCCCCATGCCAGGGAGGCTCCCACCAGCAAGAGGTGGCATTTGCCCCCGCCTCTCCCCCTGCCGTTCCTTCTATCCCCAGAACCTTCTGTTCCTCTGTGACTCCACAGCAGGACTCAACACCAATTTCCTGCAGGACACTCCCCATGACTGACCCTGCTGTGCTTCTGTGCAGGAGGTGACAGGCTGGCCCCAGGCTAGTGGTCACCCTCCTGTGGCCAAACCCAGCATTGTGCAGCCAGTGGGTGCCCATGGCTTCTGCCTGGTAACTTAGATGCCCCTCCCCCTGACGATGGGTTCTTTGAGCAACACCCACCCCCTTAGGCCCAGCTCTCTGGGTCCCTTTATAGGAGTCCTGCTGCTCCTCACCCACCTTCCCACCTCTTCTACCCGCAGAGTCCCTCTCTCTGCTGTGTCCTATGCGGTGGCCTTGACTTACCCCTTGGTCTCCTTGTGGTCCAGGAGCCCGTCATCTTATGTCTTCTTGGTGGGGTTCACTGTTTCCTCATCCCAGCCTCAGGGTTGTTTGGACATTCTTGCACCCTTCTGAGCCCAGTGAGGCAGAGACCATTGCTTTTAAGGTCACTGAGGCTCTCTTGGGGTCCCACAGGGTGTCAGTGCTGGGGCAGGCCTGTGGGCTCAGAGCGGCAGGGCACTGCAAGGCGCCAAGGGCATAGGGCTTCCACGAGGGCACTGGGCTAAGTCCTCACAGACATTCAGTATCAGCTTCCAGCCTCCTGTGTCCCCAGACGTTCCTGTCCAAGTGCCCTCAGCATTTGGCATTTGGAGTCTTACAAAATGGTAACAAATGAGTCTTCAGCCCAAGTTCCCATTCCATTAGGACAAGTTGGAAGAGCCCCTTCTTCTAGGCCTTGTGCTCCTCTTAAGTAACGCGTAGTCCCAAAGGACCTGCTCCCTCGTGTGTGGCCTTAAGGCAGGGTCAATATCACCTTGGAACTTGCTGGAAAGATCTGCAGTGTCATAGTGTGGGGTGGGACTCAGCAATCTCTGTGCACCTTCCAGGAGATTCTGTTGCCTGGTTGCATGGGAGAACCACTGTCCTAGAATCTGCTCCAGTGACACAAACTTGCCTTTGGGACTGGGCAGAGAGAGTGGCTAGTGGCTAGGTCCCAGACTGGTGCGTCCAGGGCTGGCAGGCTGCAAAGGAGTTTGGAGATAGCAAGGAGCTCACACGACCCACTGCAGAGCAGCTCTTAGGTCCACGCCCACTAAGCCAGGACCATCTCTGCCTGGGTCATTGCCGTAGCCTCGTAACTGGTCTCCTGAATCACCTCCCGCCTCCTCCAGTCTGATCTCCCCTGAACAGGAAAGGCCCCTGAGGAGAATGGGTTCCAGTGTGAATACATTGCTCTGGAGTGGCGGCCACAGCCCTGCTTCAGCTTTGTGGCCTGGGCATCTCCTGAGAGGAGACTCTCATGGTCCCTGCCGTGTCCTGTCTCTCTTCCCAACTTGGCCCATACAGATCCCTATGCGATCGTCTCCTTCCTGCACCAGAGTCAGAAGACAGTGGTCGTAAAGAACACCCTGAACCCCACCTGGGACCAGACCCTTATCTTCTACGAGATTGAGATCTTCGGTGAGCCGGCCAGCATTGCTGAGCAGCCGCCCAGCATCGTGGTGGAGCTCTATGACCACGACACCTATGTGAGTGTGCCCAGCTCGCCCCCCACTGCCCACCTGCTGCAGGGCCCCGGGGAGAGCTGTGCTGTGAGCTCTGGGTTTCCACCCAGCTGGGTGCTCCCCAGGGCTGGGCCTGGTGGCCGCTCCCCTGACCCCTCAGGCAGTGGAGTAATTAAAACTATTTAAGAGGAATTAAAAATGGATTGCTAGCACCTGTGCTGTGCCCTGTGGCAGATATTACTAATCAAATGTGGCACAGTGAGGGGACAGATCTGGAAAGGGCACTTGGCTGTGGTCAGGAGCCTGGGTTTTCTCTGTCTCTACCTTATTTATGTGATTCCAAGAATAGCCTCTTTCCCCATCAAAAGCTGCTGATTCTTCAGACATTTATCAGACACTCGCTTTATGGAGACGAGTGGTCCCTTATTTGAGGCTGAGACTCACCCAGAGAGTAGAGGATCCTCTATGTATGTGAGTGAGCATGTCCCGGAGTGCCATATAGCTCTGTGGCACAGGCAGGGACCTCTGCACGGAGCTGTCCAACAGGACTTCCTGTGATGACGGAAGTGCTCTCCAGCTGTGCTGTCCAGAGTGGGAGCCACTAGCTGCATGTGGCTAGGGAGCACTTGAAATGTGGCTAGTACCAACCCAGAAACTTGAGTTTTAAATTTCATTGTGTTTTAAAGAATTAAAATGTGAATTTAAATAGCTGCAGGTGGCTAATGCTCCAGTATTGGAAAGGCAGCTCTGGAAGGTTCCAAGGAGGGAGGGATGGAGCCAGGCTGGAACATCAGGGAAGGCTGTTGGGGAGGACAAAGGGCCGGAAGGAAATGGGGTCCGGGGTTGGTGGGGGAGGCTGAGGGGCACTGCAGCATAGTGTGGGGGTGAATGGGGGGCTGCAAGGGGAGGGGTGGGCAGGCTGGCAGGGGGAAGGGAGTGCGAGTTAGGAAACAGAGTGGGGGGTTGGTGATGGGGTCAGAGCCACATTTTAAGAAGTTGATGCTCCTGGAAGAGATGACCAGGGTGTGGCAAAGAGGCCCCGCCTGGGTAGGGGCAAGGAGAGGGATGGCGGGGGCAGGGTTTGGAAGATGTTTCCAGTAAAAGTTGCCACAACTTGGATGCCAGGGACCTGGGGAAGGGCTGTTTAGGGTCCCCACCAGATATGTGTGTGTGGGTCAGCTGGCAGTGGCAACGTGGGCCTGGGCTGGGAACCCTACCTGGGAACTCTGGGGGGAAGATCGAGGGCCCTGGGGAATGAGCAGCCGGAGGGAGCCTAGCTGGGACTGTGTGGAGAAGGGTGCAGGTGAGGGTGGGCCGGGAGGTGCCCAGGATGTGCCAGAGTTCTCTGTGGGCCTGTGCGCCCACACCCCGTCATGGTAACACTTTCTGGAAATATCTCTGAAATGCTGCTCTCTCCCCTCTCATCCCACTGCCACCCCCAACCTAGGCTGGGGCCCCTTTGCCCAAACCATCCGCCCTCTTCTTCTTAACGTGTTGCTTGGAGTCCTTTCCCTCCCTGTGGGCTAGCATCTAGCAAATGACTGCTGCCTGGAGCTCCTGCATTCCCGCCTGCCTAGCCCTCCACCAGTCCCACCCCATCTCTAGCTCTCAGCAGCTGAACGGGTAACACCTGGCCCAGAGCAGCCTCGGGACCCCTTCCAGTGCTGTAGCTGCTGCAGTTCACGCTCAGTAATTGGTGCCAGACTGTCACCTGCTGGTGTGGGCATTTATATGGAGCTGGTGGCCATTCCAGGATGGCTCTTGGGGACATCGAGGTCCCCTGCAGTGGTATGGCTGCAGTTAGCGTGCCCTCCCAGTTTTTGCTCTGGGTCTGTCCCTGCTCTGGGCAAGGCACGAGGACTTGGGAGGCCACACCACCATCTGGCGGAGACCCAGGTTCTGCCCACTGCCCTTGCTGGACTTGGCCAGGCCTGTGTGTGATGCACAGTCTCCGTGCGGTGGCTGACAAGGGGAAAGGCCAGCAGCACTGGGGGAAGTGGCCATGTGAGGGCAGGAGAGGGAGAGGCCAGCTGAGGCCATTGGGCCGGAGGAGGAGAGGATGTGTAGGCAGGGAAAGAGAGGTGTCAGGTGGCAGTGAGGGGGCCTTCGGTGCCAGAGGAGGGTTTGGACTCTGTCCTCTGGACAGCAGGGAGCTGAGGAAGGTACCTGGGCAAAGGGATTATCAAATGAAAACATTATTTTGGGAACATAATTTGATGAGCATGGTCAGAGTTTTTCCATTTTAAAGCAGGAAAAATTAAGGATGAAAGTGAACAGTTAGGACATAACCAAAGTCCCTGGGAATGTCACTCACATGGCTGCGGGCATTAGAGAAATGTGGGGAGACTGTCTCTCTGGTCTGGAGGCAGGTTTCAGGCCTACTGATTTTTGGAGGCCACTCTGAATCCTGAGCTGGGGGGATACTGACCCTTCTCCCTCCACACCTGGTCTAGGGTGCAGATGAGTTCATGGGTCGCTGCATATGTCAACCCAGCCTGGAAAGGATGCCCCGGCTGGCCTGGTTCCCACTGATGAGGGGCAGCCAGCCGGCAGGGGAGCTGCTGGCATCTTTTGAGCTCATCCAGAGAGAGAAGGTGAGGCTGGGCCGCATCCAGACCCAGGAAGGGTACCTGGTGGGGTGGGGAGGGCAGGGCTGCCAGGATCCCCCCATTTGCTGCCGGTGCCCAGTGTGATTCTGGGCAATCTCTTCTGAAAATCAGGTCTCCTAGTGAGATCCATTTTGCCCATCTTTTCTGAACCCCAGATCAGGACTCCATCATCACTGGGGTAGAATGTCTGAGTCCTCTCATCCCTGGACTTATTCTGCCCTGGGTCATATCCTGATGTGGCCTCTAGGAGGAGGGCCTCTGTGGTCTGGTGGTGGGGTCTTAACCACTGTGATGGGACAGGCAAGGGCAGGATCCTTGTTCCAGTGCTGGCCCCGCCATGTCCTAGTCGTGTGGCCCTGGGTGGCCACATCCCTTCTGTGAAACAAGAGGCTTGGCTTTGAGCTCTGCCTTCAGCTTGATTCTTGGCATCACGTGAACCCCCACGTGTAAGCTGAAAGGAGGGCTGCTCTGGGTGACGTGTCTGGAGGGGACACTTAGCTTCCCCTGCACCCCTCCCTCTCCCAGGAAACGGGGTCTGCAGCCCCCTGCCCTGTCTGATCCCCGGCACATTCCCTGGTGGTCATTTTCATGTTTTGCTGGGCTGGGGCAGAAAGGAGGGGGCTGAGGTCTTTGGGTGACAAGCGCATAATCGATGCCCTCTTTCTCTTCACCCTAGCCGGCCATCTACCATATTCCTGGCTTTGAGGTAAGCCTTGTTCTTCTCTTTCCTTCTTTCAGCTAAGCTCCACCCTCCCTGTGTCTTAACCCCCTTCTGGCTCTAGGGAGGGTGGTCAGCCGCTCCCACACTGCCTTGCCTGGAGTCCCAGGGAAAAAGCTCCTTAAGCAGGGGAGGGCTTGGGGGGGCCCCAGGGCAGGGTGGGCGGGGCTGGGGTACTCCAGGTCTCCGCGCCCAGCCTGGGCCTTGCCAGCCCTTACTCCTTGACGGGTCTGAGGATTACAGACTCCCACCTTGCAGAGGTCTCATGATCATCCAGGCCTGGCTCCTGGCTGGGCTGTGCTCTAGAGTCACCTGGGGCTTTCAAGCTCATCAGGGCTCCTATCCCACTCCTCCTATCCCACTCCAGACCAAGTGTGAACGCAACCTGTGGTGTGCGGCCCTGGCCTTGGTGCCTTCCAACAGTGCCCAGGGACTTTTAGTGTGCTCCTGGGGCTACTGACTTAACCCCATGATTCCGAAAGTGAGGGCCCGATGTAGCCTTTGCCCACCTGGAGTCCTCCTCATGCTAGCTTCGAGGCGTGGCCCAGCACCCTCTGCTTTCCCAGCCCTGCAGGAGCTTCTGATGCACGTCAAGTTTCAGAAGCCCTGATTGAGACTGGATTTTCCAACTTTTTCTTCTCATGGGACACTGTTTTTCTCCCAGCAATGGCAGCTTCAGCCCCTTGTCCCTGCCCTCCTTCCCTGTCCTGGAGGCCATGGGAGAAAACACAGATTCAGTTCCTTATGCTGTTCCAGACCGGGCTCAGGTGCAGCTGTGCGGGCTCCTTTCAGACACCTCATTGGCCCCTGTGAGCCGTCCACCCGAGGTTCAGACAGTCTTTACCGCACGAGGCCACCTCTGCCACCCCACCCCTCTGCTTCTCCCCCGACTCTTGCTAGTTTCCCTTTCTGTCCTCTCCCAGCTCCGACTCTCAATTCTGCCGGCCCTGGAGACTCAAGGTTGCCCTCCTTGGCCCCCCAGGTCCACTTGCCCTGCAGGATCAATGACTCCAAGGCCCAGGCCCGACTTCCTCCCGGGGTTGCTTCATAGGGTTCCAGGTCCTTCTGCCACCTGTCTGTCATATTCCCTTCTCCGGTCACTTCTGGAGCTGCCTGGGCTCTAGGCTTGGGCATGAGTCTTTCCCACATGTCCCTCCCTGGCTCAGGTCTATTGCATCTTCTTTCTCGGGCATCATGGAGGGTGTGGCTGGGGAGCACGGCATTCTCCCCTTGCCGGGAGGGGCCTTTCATTGGCTCCTCTTGGTGGTGGTGTCTGGGGTGCTGATTTCTGGCCCAGCCTAGCTCTCCTTGTTACTAATGGAGACTTCTACCTCCCTCTTCCTCATGCACTATCTCCTGGATGTGGAACATTCGATGGTGTGGTCCAGGTGCAGGATACATCAAGGATCCTGGACGAGGTGAGCCGGACTGGAGCTGTGGCCTGTGGCTGGGGACCAGTGGGCAGACACAGAGGGAGGTGAAGGCCAGCTGTCCAGCCGCCCTGTCCATGCCCCAGAGTCTTCTAGCTTCCCAGTGCCAATAGGCACCTGTCACATGGGGACCTATCTGGGCTTTATCCCTCAAGCTCTGTGTGGGTCCAGGGCTGCCTGGGGAGTGTCCCTGGGTGTGTGTCACCTCAGAGGCTTGCTGCCTTCTTGGGAGGGCCAGACTTACCCAGGCTACTCAAGCTCTAGCTGGTTGACTACCAGGTGGCATGTTGGTAAGACTGAAATGTTCAGCAGGGCTCAGAATAGTCAAGGAAGCCTCTCTGGTGGAGGCAGCATTAGCCAGACATCTGTGCAGCACTTAGCAAGGTGGAAATACAACTTTGGCCCAAGGGGCCACGGACCAGCATGGGAGTTTAGGAGGTGGATGGAACGTGGGCTCCTAGCGCTTGAAGAAGTTTAGAGCTACAGCTACGTGAAGAGAGCCACGTCCTTGGGTGTGAGAAGCACGATCTCTTTCGGCCTCCTGTGCATCGGTCAGGGGATGATGATGAGTGAGCGGGCAGCAGAGTCTTGGATAGAGAGACAGGAATGAGGGCCCTGGTCAGAGGGCCAGTTGGGAAAAGGGCAGCCACTTCCTGTCATCAGGGAATCCCCAGGCTGGGAGCGGACACCGTTTGACATTTTCAGTGCAATTTAGACTTGAAGCGCAGAACCAGGATGTGGGATCTGCAGGCCCCGTGCCCCTTACCTCACTTCCTTCACTCCCAGACTGAGGTGGGGTCCGCCAAGTGAGCTGGCCGTGATTGCGCCTGACAGGCGGCCTCCAGCTTCTGGCTGCAGTTGCGAAAGACTGCCGATTTGGAAAGGGACGCAGAGCCTGGTCCAGGGAAGCAGCACGGAGCCCTCGCTCTTGATTGAGAGCACTCTGTGGCCAAAACCCACAGCCTCCTCTGAAGAAGACCCAGCCCAGGGATGAGTTATTAAAAAAAAAAAAATTAGAATCCTTCATAACTGGATTTGTCATATAGAGCAGTAAAGGCTCAGATTCTAAGCACAGGGATCCAACTGCGGTCTGGTTGTCAGGAAGCAAATCAAAACTGTAGCTTTTGGTCCAGATCCTTCAGAGGGCCAAGTGTCCTGCTGCAGGGCCAGCCAGGCCACAGGCTGAGGCCTCCTGTGGGTCAGCAGAGCCAGGGGAGAACAAGTCCTGGGGTCTGCTGGGCACAGGGCTGGACTGAGCCAGCAGGTTCAAAGGCCTGAGGTCTGATCTAATGAATGGAGTGTCCAGGGAACAAGCCTCCAGATGATCCCCACCCCCATAGCTCAGTCTACTTCCACTCGCTCCAAGGCCAAGCTTCATGCCACAATGAGGGTCCTATTTAGTCTTCCTGCTCCCCAGAGGTGGGAGGGGGCAGGTCAGGGCTGCTGCTGGGTTGGTCCTGCAGGGAGTCCAAGGCCCTAGTGGTATTCTTCTGTCTTCCGTGCTGTGGCCAAGCCCCTGCCATTGACCCCCATCCACTCCCTCCCAGGCCTTCGCCTCATCCCTTTGGGGACTACTTGAGCCTTCCCGAAGCCCTGGAAAGTCTGAGGGTGGGGAGGGCAGATCGGGGGTGTTAGAAGTTGTCTGACTGCATGGTGCGTGTTGGGGAGGGAGGGCCTGGGGGAGAAACCAGCGAGGAAGGAGGCTTCTGAGATAGTCACCGTCATGGGGGACCAGACTAGAGGGGGCTGGAGGAGCAGATGGGGCCGGGACTCTGGATGGCCCCTCCTGTGGGGAGAACGTCTGTGCCAGGGCGGGCAGAGGCAAAGATCCACCCGTGCCTATGAGTTAGATGCTCTGCTGTTTGCCGGAGTTGCAGGCTCCCAGAGCAGGACAGCGGGGCTGGCTCACTGGAAGAGGTGACACCAAGCTAGTGTTTGAAGCAGGAATCGGCAGAAAGGGCCAGGGAGCGGGTGTAGGCAGCAGTGCCTGGGGCTGGGGCTGGGGCTGTGTCACTGCCTGGGGTGACAAATTTCCCTTCTGGCAGGCTGGGTGCCTGTGTGAAGGCCTCTCTTGGGGAAGTAGATCGTTGCCCTGTGCACTGGAGGCTGGAGTCTCAGAGGGCGTGTGGAGGTCCATGGTCCTCAGGGCCTTTCTGTCTGTCTTTCCCTCTCTCTGAGCCTCTTCCCACCCTCCCTGGGCTTCGCCCTGCTCTGTGTGCTCCCTGGCCGCCTCCCTCCTTCTCCCGCCTCCTCTGAGCCCTCCTCTGCTTCTTTTTCTTTTTGTCCGGAGAACAAAGGCGGTCGGCACTGCCAGGGGGAAGGAGTTCAAAGAAACGCAATTTCAGATTTCCTGAGAACTGGAGAGTGTGTGCATGCACGTGCGCGAGCGTGTGTACATGTGGGCACTTGCGAGAACAAGCACACACGTTGGGCAGGAGAGGTGCTGGTGGGCTCCTTTCTAACCAGGGCCCTTAGGATGTGGACCCTAAGGGTTTAGGATGGGGCTTGCGGTCCTGACCGTGCTGCTCCGTGGCAGGGACGCCCGCGTAGGAGGGATCACATGCTCTGTGACTGTTTTCATGGCTGGCTCAGGGGCCATCCAGATGTCACCCCATGTGCCCGTCCCAATCCAGGAGACAAGGTGTGGGACTCTCATTCTGAGATGTACTGGAGGTACCCTCCTGCACCCCTACATCCACTAAAAGGAAGAATTTGATGTTTTGCCATCAGGAAAATAAGCCCAGTGGTCCCCCATCCCCCTCTTCCTCCCCCAAGGCCTTAATTTGAAACACTGTTTTTCCTGGGAAGTGTAATTAGAGCAGCATGTTGCTCCTAACGAGCTGGGTGGGGCCGGCAGACAATGGAGCCCTCCTAGCCCGCCTGGCTGCCCCCTGCCTGGAGCTCCCCGAGGGTCCCCTGACTCTCTCCCACTGGGCAAGGTGGGGTCTACAGGCTTCTGGTGATGGGGCAGCTAGGTGACTGGAGAGGCTTGTCCCTGTCTACTCTGTCCCAGCAAGAAGCACCTGTCCACTGCGGTACCACCTGGACAGGCCTCCGGGTGGCTTCAGCTCTGTGGGGAGAGCCTCGCTGTCCCGGAGGTCCTCTTGATCTGAGCCGACTTGGTGGACACCCTTCCCGCCCGTTCAGCCCACCCCTGTAGCTGCTGCAGGTCTGGCTGCCCTGCCTTCAGGATACACCAGAAAGGGGCTGGCTCCCTCTAATTGGCTTATGTGGTATGGCTGTCCTTGGAGTCCCCGTCACCCATAGGACAGTGAGTCGGGATGTCCCAGTTGCGCTTGTAGTTTGCACCCCGCCCCTGCCTGGCCATGCTGACAGGGCCTCCATTTCTGATAAGGGTCACAGCACCTTCTCTGAGAAGATGAGAAAGGGGGTGCTCAGGAGCTGTCTCTGCCTGGGCTCAGGACTCCTGTTAGAAACTCTGAGGTGCTGCAAGAATGGAAAGTGGAACACCTTGGAAGTGGGTGGGCAAGGCCAACGTGAGGCTAGCAAGCACCCCTGGGCAGGCAGGCCCCGCCTTTATCCCTCCTGCAGCACTGCCCCTTGCCCTGATGGGAGGAGCTTGGAGTTATCATGTTAAAACTGGGGTGGGCAAAGGGATGGGCTCTCATTAAATGGCCACAGTTGGATCCAGTCAAGGTTAAATTTTCTGAAAGTGGACCACCAACTTTATTTCTCACACTTCCATGGTGAGCTGATCAGGGAATGGTTAGGATCGTGCGAACTGTGGGTGGGGCCCGGGTCATTGAGGATTGAAAGATGTCAGAGAGTAGGGTTATGGGAAGTTTCCGGAGAGTTTGGGGAGATTTCTGGGTGCCTGGAGAACTTGACCTAGGCTTTGAAAGCTGTGTGAGATTTGGGCAGATGAGCAGACCCATGCAGACAGACAGCGGTGAGCAGGTAGGGGAGGCAGGGCTGGGCGGGGACCCCAGGGCCTGGCTAGAGCAGATAGGATTGCTGGGAAGGAGAGAAGGTGTGTGTTGGAATCATTTCTTTATCATCTCTTCCTGCACTCTTCCCTCTGTCTGCCCTTCTTCCCTCCCTTCCTTCAGTAATCTACCCATAATCATTCATTTATTAGGTGGGGGATTTAGCTGTGGTCCCAGTGGTACAGAATTGCCGGTTTCACCAGGGAATACGTAGAATGGTGTGCAGAGGGAGAGATGTGTCTTTCAGTGGGACTCTGGGCTGTGGGAGCCCCGAGGGTGCTTTGGCTTATGCTCAGGGCAGAGAGAAGGTTTAAATGGACATCTGAAGTCCAAACAGATCAGGTCACCAGATGAAGTGGCTAGAAGCTCATTCCAGACCCAGGGTCCGGTGAGTTCCAAGCCTCCAAGTTAAGGAGAGCCTGGTGCCTCTGGCTACCTGCCAGAGCTCAGAAGGGTGGGGGTCGGCACGTTCTGGGAGGTGGCTCATCAATATTGGGGCTCCTGGAGGGGAAATTTATCTGGTGAGAGATGTGATCAGAGAAGTCAGCAGGAACCGGGAGCCTCCTTGGAGGCCTTGCTAATGAAATTCGCATGATTCCTGCCAGGGTGGGGGATTTCGGGAGTGTAAGCAGAGGGTGGCATTTTTTGGAAACCTGGACTGGCTGCAAAGCTCATGTGCACTTTTGCGGGGAGTGGGTGTGCCAACTCACATGCACAGAGACCACTCTGGATGGTAGTGAGTCCGAGAGAGAGGGTGCTGGCTTGAGCCCAGGAAGAAGACAGGGTGGGTGTGAGAGAGATTAGGGATGAGGGGAGGAGAAAGCCAGGGTGGCACTTTTTTTTTTTTTTTTTGGCTTGGTTGTCTAGATGGCTGTGGGGCCAGTTTCTGAGATGGCATTGAAAGGGAGAAAGCAGAGTCTAGTGTTGGACAAGTTCAGTGTCAGCGGCCCGTGTCAGGTGCGTGGATGAACGGAGCAGAAAGATCCTAGGAATGGGGCTGAGAAAAGACGAGCAGGAACAGAAAACCCAGGAGCCCTGGCATTTCAGAGCTGGTGGAGGAAGCGGGGGAGGCTGCCCGGGGGGAGACTTAGCATCAGAGGGCAGGAGGGACCGCAGTGTGGAACCAGAGGGGTGGCTTTAGGAAGCAGAGGGGTCCGCTGGGCAGATGCTGTGGAGGGTGAGAGGTGGGAACCCACGGGTGAACTTTGGGCTGAGCTTCTAGGAGGTGATGGTTGACTTTGGAGAGAGAAGTTTCCAGGATGGGGTGCTGGGGGGAAGCCGAAGGCTCTGGGCAGGGAGGGAGGGAAGGCCCTGGGTGGGGACAGGAAGGGAGAAGAGAGGAAAGAGAGGAGGAGGCGGGAGAAGGCCCATAGAGGGGAGGGCGTGGATGGATTCCAGAGAGATGGGTCGGGGCAGGAAGAGCTCCAGGAGCCAAGGTGTGACACCCATGGCGCTGGGGGGACAGTGTGGTGGCAGCTTGTGTGGTGGAGTGGATGGGACAGAGGTGGGATCCCAAGGAGGTGGTGGAACCCGCCTGGGGCCAGAATGTCCTGGGATCCCTGGGGACAGGATGTGGCTGGAGGTGGCCGTGGATGTGTCTGGTGCCTGGCACGGGGATCTGCTGATGGACACACCTCTAACCTCTGTTTCTGCTTCCTCCTCCTGCCTCCGCTGGGCCGGCGCCCCGCAGCTGTGCGCTCCTGCCTTCTTCCTCCAGGGCCTGCTGCACACGGTACTAGCGCTTAACCCGCCAGGGCTGTGGTCTCCGCGGGCAGGTTCCTGTCCTCTGCACATGGCGAGGACGTCCTCACCACGGACACGTTCCGGGAGGGGGAAATGTATTGACGGGTTGTCCTTCTCAGGGAGCTCAGGGCTGTTCCCTCCTTGGTCCCTTTGTCCCTATTTTATCTTGGCCCCACAGTGAGCCGAGCATCAGCCAGGAGAGGCCACCATCAGGCTATGAGTGAGCCTCGAAGTACAGCCTTCCTTTAGAGAGGCCACCCCGGTTCACAACCACCTGTAGCTTGGTGGCCTTGGAGTGCCACCGTGGGCATCACACGAGGGGTGGCCCAAGCAGCCAGGCTACTGCAGTAGCCGAGCAGGTGGGAACGTGATGTGCAGCCCTGGACATCAGCCCTCTTCAGCCAGTCAGAATGTGGGTGGGGAGGAAACTGAGGCGTCCCTGCTTATACTGCCAGCATTGCTGTGGCATTTTAATGCTTCTGGTGGCCCTGCGGTCCTTAAGTCATCCTGGGAAGAGCAAGACCGGTATTGATGGTAAAAACAATGGTACTGACAACTGTAGTAATAATTACGGTCACAACCATTTATTAAGCACCTTCTGTGTGCCAGGTACTCTTTACATTTATTGTCTCGTGTAATTCTCAGAGCAACTTCACAAGAATATTGCTATCCCCGATCTTTAGGAGGATCCTGAGTCACTGAGGTTGGGTGATTTGCCCAAGGTCAAACGGTTAGGCAATGGCAGAGCTGGAACTGGAGTCCAGGTCTGTCGGATTCTAGAACAGAGCTTGTTACTACTGCTACAGGTCAGAGAAGCCTGGCATCATCTGAGTGTCCTTGGACAGAAAGGATGGCTTGGGTTGGCTGCGAGGTTTCATGAAGGCAGGAGGAAGCTGGTATTTTTTTTCTGTTTCAGCTTCTCTCACCATCTATGACAGAGCATCTGTAGATGCATGTGTTATCCTTTCGGAAGAAACCCAAAGCTCCTTACTTGGAAAATGACTCTAATGATTCCATGGTTGATTAAATGAGATTACAGGAAGCCAGCTCTGTAAAACGTTCAGCACAGCCCTTTTAATTCTAGTCAACCTTTCCTGAATGTTATGGCCTCCACGTACGGATGGGCAGGTTGTGCACTGTACAAGGGCAACTGTGTCTAAGGGGGTGCAATTTCTAACACAAACATCATAAATTTATATTTTTTTAATAAAAATTTTCCAGTAGGTGGCAGTAAAGTGTCTTATCCTAATAAACTTTTAAAATATGACAGTTTTCTGATATGAAGCAGATTGTCTTGAGAAAGGGATATCTTACTCTAATGGTCACAGAGGTGTCACCAGTAGTCCTAGGGAGAGCTCCTGTGTTCCAGACATAATGAACATGTGTCTCCTTTTCTCTTTTATCGATTGCTCTGCTCTTCTGGTATACAGTGTTCTGTCCTCATGGGGGACAGGCGTGAGAGATCAGGTTTGGGGCTGGAAGGTGTCTGGGTGTGGATGTGGGTTTGCGGGATGGGAACCCAGTTGGGTCTGAGCCAGGGGGCAGGAGAAGCAGGATAGAGGGAGGCACGTGGATGTTCTGGGTTGAAGCAAGCCCCATGTGCATCGTGCGTGTTGGGGACAGGGAGACCCCGAGCTGCTCTTGGTCACCAGAGCCTGCAACGTGAGAGGAGGTGAAGCTTGCTATTCACTTGAAATGGGGTGACCTGAACCTGGGGGATGGCGTTTGGTGATCCTGGAAAGGGTGGTGCCTTGCAGAGGCTGACAGCTCCCCCACTTCTGCCTGCCTGCCCCTATGTCTGCGTCTGGGTCTCTGTTCTGTGTCTCCCCATGCACATCATTTTTTTCTTCCTTTCTTACATCTTTGGCTTGGTCTTCTCTGCCTTTGTCCACTCACTGACCCCTGCAGTCCGAGGACACAGACTTGCCCTACCCGCCACCCCAGAGGGAGGCCAACATCTACGTGGTTCCCCAGAACATCAAGCCACTCCTCCAGCGCACAGCCATTGAGGTGAGCCTGGCCCGGGGCGGGGGCGGGGGCGGGGGGCAGCCTGGCCCTCTGCCTTCCTGGCCCCAGTCTTCCCCAGGGCCTGGGCCTTCCCAGCCATCCCCTCTGTCTGTCCCTAGATCCTGGCCTGGGGTCTGCGGAACATGAAGAGCTACCAGCTGGCCAGTGTGTCCTCCCCCAGCCTCGTGGTGGAGTGCGGGGGCCAGGCGGTGCAGTCCTGTGTCATCCGGAACCTCCGGAAGAACCCCAATTTTGATGTTTGCACCCTCTTCATGGAAGTGGTGAGCCCCACTCTGGCCCCTCCCAGAGTCCTGGGTGCTCGAGGGTCCTCCTGGCCTCAGGCAGTCGAGGGGTGGAGCTTTGGCTCCCTGCGGGATCCCTGGGGGCTCAGGTCATCTCTCTGCCTCACTGTCCTCTGAAAACGGGGAAAACGCTCCTTCTCTCCTCACTAGAAGATCTCGTCCTTAGAGCAGACAAATGGGGCTGGCCTCCTCCCTCCCACCCAATCCTGGATTAGCAGAAGCTTCTAGGAGCGGCTGGTTTTCCTTCCAGGGCAGGTGACGGTCTCTGGAGCTCCCCTCGGGGACCTGCCAGGGCTCTGACCCCCCCAGTGCCTCCTCCCAAGCTGCCCTGACCCTGACCCTGGCCTGGCCTGGGCCGGTGAGAGGTGCTTGCTCCTCGGACCTCCGTCCCCCAGCCCTCTCCAGCTCCCTGTGCTGCCTGGGCCTAGGAAAACGGCCTGCGAGATGAAAGCGCTATAGGAATTCCAGGCCCAGTGGCTGTCAACAGGAGCCTCCTCTCGGCGGAGCCAAAGCCGCCACTGAAGGAGAGCATATAAATTATTTCAAGTTGTGTTCAAAGTGCTTTGGGGGTGGGGGAGAAGGATCTGGGTCTGCAAGCCAACTCTAGAGTATCCACTTGGGGGGGACTGTCTGCAAGAAATGTGGAGTCCTGGGCCAACTCCCCTCTCCCTCTCCCCGGCCAACGCGCATTCGGGGAGGGTAAGTAGCCTTGCTGAGCTGCAGGCTGAGCTGGGTGTATTTGGAAGGTAAAGCTATCCGGGGAAGCCAGCCTCCACATAAGCACTCGAGAGCAAGGTGTGTGGCTTCTGCTTCCTTGGCCAGCTCCTGGGTTTCTGCCATCCGCCATATTGGATTTCTGGCGATTGGGGATTGCCTGTGGTCCTTTCCAGTTCCCCGGGCCTGCTGTGAAGGGCCCTCCCTTCTTTCCCCGAGACTCCCCAGAGATGGGCTCCGGCTGGTATCCGAGCTCTCCGCCTCCTCCACCTAGATGCTGCCCAGGGAGGAACTCTACTGTCCCCCCATCGTGGTGAAGGTCATTGATAACCGCCAGTTTGGTCGCCGGCCTGTGGTGGGCCAGTGCACCATCCGTTCCCTGGAGAGCTTCCTGTGTGACCCCTACTCACCCGAGAGTCCGTCCCCACAGGGCGGCCCAGGTAGGGGGCAGGATCGTGGCCTGGAGGGGCCAGGGCAGAGGGGCAGGGCAGGCAGCACCTCCCAGCTGAGAGGCGTCCTGAAGCTGGTCTCTTTGGGGGGCCTGGGTGAGAAGTGGCTTCGGGTCAGCTAGACCAGAGGTGGGGACCTCCTGGAGCTGAGGAGGGATGGGTCCACATGGAGGTCAGTCGAGGGAAGAGGTGACGAGGGAGGAGATGTTGGGGGATGATGGTGGGGGTGGGAATGCGAGGAGAGCTAAGAGAGAGAACTGGGAGACAGGGCGAAGAGGAGTGGGGAGAACTGAGAGGTGAGGAAGTGGAGAGACCGAGGGGTCTTGTCTGAGCTCCCCGGCCGAGTCCCTCACTGGACACGGTTCTACCTGCAGATGACGTGAGCTTACTCAGTCCTGGAGAAGATGTGCTCATTGACATCGATGACAAGGAACCCCTCATCCCCGTCCAGGTAGGGTGGGCGCAGGGCCCCATGGGACAGAGGCCAACTCCCCTCCCCAGCGGCTGGCCTGGATTTCCCCGCCCCCTCCACTCCTCTTCCCCATCTCTTCTTGCTCCTGCTGTCCGTGCTTTATTGTCACACAGCCATTAGAGAATGTCCCCCTCTGCACGCTGGTGGCTGGTCACTGCCTGGTGGAGGGACCTAGATGTGGGCTTTCAGTCTTTGAACTGGGGGGGAGTTGTGGTCTTCAGGGAAAAGACTCAATTCGTTTTCCTGGAAGCTGGCGCCTTATACCTTTGGGGCCATGTTGAGGGTTTGCCCCTGGAGATGACTCAGTAAATCAGAGTGGAGAGACATGAAGGAGAAGGAAGGTAGGGACGGAGGGCTGGGCGGTCTTGGGTACTCTAGCCCCATCACCCTTCCCTGGACAGACCTCTTCTTGGGAGGAGGATTCTTCCATGGGCTGGTGCTTGGTGGCCCCTTGGAGGTACCTCCAAACTAGTGATGCATCTTACCTTGTTCCCCTCCACCAGGGACAGGAAGGAAGAGGGGCAGGAGAGGGACATTATTTTAAGGGTCTTCGACTCTGAGGAAGTCAGAGCGATCCTTTGCTCTATTCAGCTACTTAGGGCCTGCTGGTGACTTAGACGCAATGCTAAATGACACAGCCCAAGGTCTGTGACATCTTTAACCTGAGAGGGAGGGCACTCTCTGTACCTGGGGTTTAGAGGGGCTCTGGATCCTACAGAGCTGAGGCCACCCAGTCTTTTCCTGCAACTGGGGGCAGAGGCCATGAACTTGCTGACCGTCACATTGTCACCCTCTTCTCTGGGCTCCACATGATGCTGGCCACATATTGCATGACATCTCTGACACCCTCGGGGTCCCAGAGCTTCCAGGCTGCATGAATCTTCCCCGCCGTGTAGATGGCCCTGTGTCCTCAGGCCCCCAGCTGCAGATGTGCTCAGGGTGGGGTGGCGCTTCAGAGAGGTCCGGGTCCTTTAAACTATCAAATATCAGCTTGGAGAGCAAGAGAACCAACTTGGGTGTGGGTGGGGCTGAGGATCCTCAGGTCACATCTGCAGGGCTTCCCTGGGTCACTGAGGGCTGTTTCCCCCTTTCTCATTCGTTCATCTTTCTGCCACTTCTAGGGGAACATCTCTGGGGTCAGTTAAGGTCTCGCTCTGTAGTTTCCTAGTGCTAAGAGGACATCAGAAGCCCCGAGCTCTCTGTCTCCCCAGCCTCCAGGGCTCCCCAGGGCCCCGAGCTGCCAATCTTTCTGCTCAGGTAACCTTGGCCTCTGCCGTCTTGCTCAGCTCCTGGTTGGTCTTGAAGGTTCAACGCCGGTGTGGTCATCTCTCTTGAGGAGTCTTCCCTGGCTCCTCCCCTTTGCCTGGAAGATCTCAGTTACTGAACTTGCCCTAGATCCCTAAAGGTCAGCATCTTCCTTGGACTAAGCTCAGGACAGTGACTGGGGTACCTTCCTCTCTGTATCCTCCGTGCCCAGCATGGGGCCTGCCTTAGAGGAGGTCTTCAGTGAAAGTCTGTATGGATGGGTGAATGGATGGATGGATGGATGGATGGATGGGTGGGTGGGTGGCTTGTCCTGTGTCTGTATGGGTCTCAGGAGGACCCTCTCCTGGCTGGGGAAACCCAGATGGACATTTCAGATGGCTCAATAGGAAGGTGAGCTAAATTTTCTGCTTGCCTTTTGGTCTGGTTGGGTGTTTAGGGCTGAATTAGGCAGAGAATTTGCCCCAAACTCTGGTCTGCCTGATCCTGGCTCCTGTTTCCTGCCCTGCTCAGTGGGCTGCCCAGCGGATCTCTGTTCTATGAGTGTGGCCCTCAAAATGTCTGCAGATTTGAATGAGAAGGGATTATTTTGGGTCCTGTTGGCTACAAGTACAGCCAGAGGCAGACAGTAAGGAGGCTAGTCTGGACGTCCTCCCAGTGTGGACACAAGGGAACCGGGGCTGGGGTCTGAGCCAGAGCCAGGCCCAGGCTCTTTGTGGAGAGCACATGGCCATTCTGACCAGAGCTGCTGGCCAGGCAGAATGGTGAGGAGCTGGAGCAGAGAGCTGGCTCCTGGCTGCAGTGCACCATGGTGTGTGTGGGTGTGTGGGTGGCCTCACCTGACCTGAGAGGTGAGTGGGGAGAAGGAGGAGGGCCAACCAGCTTGCTCCCAGGGAACAGAGTGGATGACCTCCCTGTGCCGACCCCCAGCTGGACAGAGACTTACTGAACAAACTGATGGAGACAGCCCTGGCCCTCTTCTCAAGGAGCCCGGAATCTAGCAGTGAGACCAGCCCTGGTCTCCAGGGAGCTCTGACCCTCCAGGGAAGCCCCCAGTGAGGTGTCTGATTTTATATTGTGTTTTTCTCTGAGATCTATTGGTCTGACTTGGCGGATCCAAGGAATCCATCACCCTCCATCTCTCATTCACAGCCCCTGGCACTGGGGGTTCCTCTCCAGGGCTGACCAGGGAGGCAGTGGGCTCCAGTTGTAATAGTTTACCAGGTAGTTTTGGCCGGGACCCCCGCCCCTTCTTCCTATGCAGATAGAATGGAGCGCCCTGGCCTATAGGAACTGGCGGAACAAGGATTCTGGCAGAATTTAGGTTTCGCCTGGCTCCCGTTTGGCCAGCCGGTGTGATTCTCATGATTGACGTCCCAGCCCGGCCCCCATGGCTTCCCAGCGGCTCCCTGTTGTGGCGCTGGCCTCGGGCTCCTTTCTAGCTGGCCCTGTTCTCTCAGATCCTGCCTTTTCTTTCCTTGCTCATACCTTTCTGCTCAGAAAGTCTCACCATCATCTGCGGAGGTGCTGGGATGAGCCCACTGCCCAGGTAGAGACTGTCCCCTGAGATGCTTGATGCTGGCGCACAGACAAGTCCTCTGCTTCTCAGAAACGTCTTGGTGGGTGTCAGGAGTTGTCAGTTCTGGAGATGACAAAGTGGGTGGATGAGGCAGATCTGCCTCCTGGGGCTCGGGGCCGGCACCCATCTCTGGGGCCGGGGAGACCCTGTGTGGGTGGGTGCCTGGCGTCTCTGAACTGTTCTCTGCAGAAGTGGGCTGGGGTGGGGGTGGGGTTCCTGCAGATCAGCTCCACTGTTTGTTCTTGGTCCAACAGGCTGTCCTCCGTGTAGGTGTCAGATGGGTCCCTGAGTGTGTGGTGTGTGTGGGTGGTATGGCGTGCACACGAGTGTGCAAGGGAGATAGGGAAGATGGGAATAAGAGAGTGGACAAGCTTTGAGGGTGTTGGTCAGAGGTGTGTGCCTAGGCTTATTGGTGGCCTTGACTGGTGAGTGTGAGGCAGGCCTAGGTAGATCCCCACAGAAGGAGAGCACACTTGATTCCACCCAGGTCTTCACTTTAAAAAAGGATATATTCATTTTTATCTGATCATAAATATGACACAGGTTCATTTGATATAACTGGGAAAATACAGGAAAATAATGAGCAGGTGGGCCTTGCCTCCAACTAAGTAAACTGCTGTCCACCCACATTTCATTCTCCATCCTTTTCTCCTTCTGTCCCTGATTCTGACTCCATTGCTACTTAAAAAACAAGACAAAACAAAACAAACAAACAAACAAACAACTAGGGCCTTTGTTTATGAATCTGTTCTTCTAGTTAAACCAGTTCTGGGTGTTATGATTATAAAGATGGAAAGAAAAACAGTAAGCAGACGCTCAGGGCTTGCTGCCCCAGCTGAGGCCCAGCGAGGGTCTCAAAGCTCAAAGCAGACATGGTGGCCTGCACCCCCCATGTTGCCCCCTCTCCGGGCATGGAGAAGCCTGCAGAGCCCACTTGGCATGTTAGGGTGACTCTCATCTGGCATTCTCAGGGACCGGTGTGGGTGGGGTCCCCTCTTTAGGTCTCTAGAGGAGAATTTCTGGAGTAGGGATAGAGAGAGAAAGAGAGAGAACACTTGGGGAACTGGATCCTGGAGAGACAGGAGGTGTCTAGTGGACCTCCACCGAGTGATGTCACAGGGACGAGGTGCTTTAGCAACCAGGATACCCAACATCAGGGACTCTCCTGGACCTGGGGTCAGCCTGGGCTTGAATAATCAGGGATGCCCTCCAGGAGGTTGCAGGAGGGAGGCCTCAGAGGAGGCTGGGTGGGGTTAGAAAAGGGGAGAGAGGAGGGCTTGCCTGGGAGGCAGGAATCTGGGCAGAGGTTTGCAAGTGGGACTGTGTGCGTGCGGGTGCGCACGTGCAGGGATATATGTGTGTGTGGCGAGGTGGAATGTGTTTGTGTTTATGTGGTGAGGTGTGTGTGTGTGTGTGTGTGTGTGTGTGTGTGGTGGGCGTGGGCTTAGCGAGGAGGCGGGCCTGGCAGGCCAGAGTGGAGGAAACACCAGAAGGTGGCATGGACCTGCTCCCCACGCCCGAGGGCTGAGGTGCAGGGATTGGCCTGCTCCCAGGCCCTCAGGCCCCCAGGCTCCCAGGCTTGGGGTAATTTTGAGCTTGCTGCTCCACTTATAGTCTCTGGGACACCATGAAGGTGGAAACACACTCCCAGAACTGGAGCAGCAAATTATGCCCGCATCCCAAAGGGGAACGTGTAATTTCTGAAGCTGGACTCCATCTTTGGGGCCCTATGTTTAGTGTGTTCTTTTTTCTCCCACTTGCTCGGGTGAACTGCCAGTTTCCCTCTCACCTTTCTAAAAAAGGACTGTAGTGAAAATAACAATAGGGCTTCTGTGGGCTTCAGGAGGAGAATGGGAGGGGCTGGGCCCTGTCTCTGCCCAGCTGGGGGGTGGCACGGGGAGGTCATCCAGTCTATTCCAGGGGCCGCGCATGCCCCACTACACATGGCCACTGGGCCTGGCTGGGTGCCCTTGGGCCATTGTGCCCTTCTGCCCAGGCTTCTGGCTCTGATGTCCCTGCAGTGATGCTCCCTTTAAAGAGCAGGGTGGCCTCTACGAGTCCCCTGATCTCCTCCAGGTGCCAGCAGGGCTGCATCCTCCATGTCCTTCTCTGGCTGTACCTGACCTGCTGAGGAAGGGAGGAAGGGCCCGGGGGGTTGACCTCCTATGGACTCTTCCCAGAGCCCTCTGCATGGGGCTCAAAAGAGGAGAGAGTCCAGCCTGGCAGTTCTGGGTCCTGCTGACCCCCCTACCTCCTGCCTGACCTCCTTTGTCCTGCCTTCGGGGCTGCCTTCCGGGACCATCTGCTTCGTTCTCCTTCTCCCTTTGCCGTTGCTACCTTCTCTGCTGAGACTGCCTCTCCTTGACTTGTCTGCTGCTCATCTACCCAGACCCCTGCCACCTCCCTCTGGCCCACTGTGATGCTCTCAGAACAGATCTCCTGCCTGAGGTCCCCAATCCCAGGGATAAGTACACCATAAGTACCGAGTCACAGTACTGAAGACAGCAAGCCAGGGTCTGATGCAGCAAGTGAGTGGCATAGGGTGGAAGACTCTTAAGGTTTCCCTGCTACAAGTTTTGGGGGGCCATGTGATGCCCTGGTTCTTGAGGCATGAAGGCTGAGAAACCTGCAGTTGCCCGGGAACCCTGCCCAGCAAGATGGGAGAAAGCCCCTCTCTGATGAGGAGCAGGAGCGTCCCTCAGGTAGGCAGATTTTGGAAGGTCAGGGAAGGCATGTGAAAGGGCTGCCAGGGGCAGGGGCAGCATCCAGTGACTCTCTAGAGCGGAGTGTGCGGGCCCTTCCTCTCCCTCTTGCTGGAGGTGGGCTGGGTGCCGTTCCCTAGAAGGGATCCTGATTCAGAGATGGCAGGGTACTTGCCTGAGGTCACACAGGTGGTGGCCACGGGGCCAGGCTTCTCCGACTCGGAGCACCCGTCTTTCCCACAACTGTTGTGGCTCCTTGGAGGAGGAGCAGCGGGTGCTGGACAGAGGAAGAGGACGACTCCTTGGGCCATCCAGCCTTCCCCGAATGAATCCTCTGATCCCGTCACTAACCAGCCTGTTTAATTTGTAGCTTTCGGATGGTCTGTCAAGCTGGGCCGCCACTAACACGGTGTCCTCTCCTTCCGGCCCTCATGTATGTATTACTTACCTATTTGTGGGCTCTCTGATTTCCCTTGGGGGGCTGAGGGGTGGGAGCTAGGAGGGGAACCGAGGAGGGAAGAAAGAAGAGATAGTCACCAGCCTCGATCCATAAAATAGAAGAGGTTGGGAGCAAGCTATGGGGCAGGGTCTCAGCAGTGATGTCCCCATGTTATTCCGGGTGCCTCCTGAGATTCCTTTCAATCCTATTAACCTGCGTGGGGGCTGGGGTTGGGTGGGGCTGCCTGGCCACTGGAAGCACTGGAATTCTCTGGATTGAACTCTGACTTCTGGGACATAGGACACAAAACGTCAGTGTGTGCAAAGCAGGCTGACTTTCTCTGTCCCTCCCCAGTGCATGGAGGGTGTGCCTGACTGAAGGGCCCCAGGGTCCTGGCAGGTTCTGAGAGGTCTGCTTGGGCCACTGGTCAGCTCTCTGCCTGCCTCAGCTGATTCCCTAGTGTCCTCCTTCTGGGTGTGGATCCATGGGGAAGGTGACTTTGGTTTGGAGGCTGCGGTGTGTAGACATCAAGTCCCACGGTCCAAAGGGCAATGAGTCCAATTCCCTTCCTGTGTGAATGGAGGACTGCTGAATTCAGAGTCCTATGGAATTCTGGAGGAAGTGCTGTCTATTTGTACTTTTCTCTGGTTTATCTTTTGTAGAAGTCATGGAAAACACAAAAAAGGCAGAGAGTTAAAACCACCTGTATTCCTACCAGTTAAAGGGAAGGACTTTTAAGATTTTGATGTGCCGACGTTTTTAGATGTTTTTTATGTACCTGTGTCTACTTTTATTATTATTTTTAAATTGAATTTGTATTGTACATTTTTTTTTGTATTGGGGAATTGAACCCAGGGGTGCTTAACCCCTGAGCCATATCCCCAGCCCTTTTTTTTTTATTATTTTTAAAAATTCAAGATGGTTCTTGCTAAGTTGAGTAGGGCCTTGCTAAGTTGCTGAGGTTGGATTTGGATTTGAGATCCTCCTGTCTCAGCCTCCAGAGTCACTGGGATCGTAGGCATGTGCCACAGCACTTGGTACTACTTTTTAAAAATCTGCATTTCAAAACTTAAAAGTATAATGAGAATGCTTTTCCATTTTTTTTAATATTCTTTAAAAATATGGCTGCATGTGCTGTGGATATCCATAAAGTATTAACTACTCCTTATCATTAAATGTCTAATTTGTTAATTCTCACTACTGTCCCTTTTATGTACCTCCCAGGAGTTGTTTTAGTTTACTCTCTGTAGGTCTAGCCATTTCTTGTTAAAATGTATTACTAGGCATTTTCTAGCCTTTCTTGTTATTCTCAATGGAATATCTTTTATTCCCCTTAAGGATTTTTGACTAATAGCTGGGTGCCGTGGTGCATGCCTGTAATCCCAGTGGCGGTTGGGGGGGGGGCGGGGGAGGGCTGAGGCAGGAGAATTACAAATTCAAAGACAACCTCAGTACCATAGTGAGGCCCAAAGAACTTAGCAAGACTCTGTCTCAAATTAAAATATAAAAAAACGGTCTGGGGAATTGTACAATACAAATTCAATTAAAAAAATAAAAGTAGACACAGGTACATAAAAAACATCTAAAAACATAGGCACATCAAAATCCTCTCTTCAACTGGTAGGAATACAAGTGGTTTTAACTCTCTGCACTTTTGTGTTTTCCATGACTTCTACTAAACTGTCTGTGGCTTAGTGGTTAAGCACCTCTGGGTTCAATCCCTGGTACTCCCCAACCCCCTAAAAGAGATTTTGACTACTAGAATATAGAAAATAATATTTTTGTGTATTACTTTGAAATGGACTCTTCAGTAATTCTGACAGTTGTTAAGTTGATTTTTTGGGTTTTCCAGGTGGGTAAGATTGTTTTCTTCAAATAGTATTAAGTAGCTCTTTCTAGTAGCTAATATTTTGTACATTTTTCCAGAATAACATTTGATCATAGCTAGCTAGTGAATAAAGCTATTTAGTCACTGATTAACAAAAATGCTTCTTTCATTTTCCATAACTTATGATAATTGATTAGTGTTTTCAGATATTCTGGATCTTGTTCAGGTCCTGTCCTTTATTGTTATTTTGTTGATAGATTAAATTTGATATAGAGGTTGAATTTTATCAGGTGTCATTTGGCATTTATCAAGGTGATCATTTTGTTTTTCCTGTTACTATGATGTATAATTTTGTAATATAATTACTTTATTCCTGGGGTAAACCAAATTGGTCCATTTGGTTATGGTGTTACAGTTTGCTGAGACTGAAGCCCTCTGATCCAATGTAGTCAAACAGGTAGTTGGTTGGCTGTATTACTAGGCATTTTCTAGCCAAAAAGTTGGTTTGATAGGGACTCATTAAAAATCATAGCTCATGCCATAAGCATTTTAGCTTTACCCCATATCCACGCATCTTCATTTGCTAATCATTTGATGTGTGCTGAGCCCTTTTCTTTGAATTTGGATGTCCTGGACTGAGGACCACGTTATCCTTTTGTTATAAACCACATCTGAATTTTGGCTTTGTATTTATTACAGTTTGAGGAGAATTCAATGATCCTAGCAAAAAAGTCTGAGAGCAGTGCTTTGTTTTTTAAACATTTAAGATCCCCCATCTTTTGTGTTCTCACTGGTGTTTAATTTTTAAAAAGTCAAGAGAATTACATTAACATTTTACACATTGTTGTAATCTTTATCTAATTACCACATTGAACAACTGGCATAAACAGATTTGGACACCAATGCAGTTGGCTGTTGGTAAACATACAGCTCACCTTCTGGGAGTTGCTGGAACATTCTAGAATAGCCACAGGCATTCCCCTGGCTCTGTATCTTAGATTGTTGGCAGACAATGACTAGTGTTTGTTCATGGTGAAGGGATAGTTTGGAAGCAGACATCTACTACACATACTACACATTACCTATTACTTATTTAGGATTTTTGCATCTCTGTGAATCAGTATTGCTTTTGGCTTGTCTTTACTAGACTTTGATATCAGGGTTATACCAATCCCACAAAATATTTTTCAGTTGCATTTCTTCTTTCCATGCTCTTTAACTGTCTGTAGGGTGTGGGAACTATTGTTTCTCAGGAGTTTTCCACAATACGCTTGAACCTCTCTTTGTGAATTTGACTTATATGAATTGAAAATGGTGTTATATTATCTTTTAAAAAGTTACTTTATGAGTCAACCTAAATTTTAAAAAATGATTAACAATTCTATAAATTCAAAGGTGGTGGCCAAGTGAATTTTATTTATAGTTTAGCTGATAAACAGGATACCTGTCATCTTTTCAGAAAACAGTATGTAGAATATGAGTTTTGAATTATACAAATTTTCCAAGAATGGGTATTTTGTGTAATTGCATAAGACAGTTGCTCTCCACTTGTGAAACCTCTTTTTGGAGGGAATTCTCTGATCAATTTCTATGCCTTCAGTGAATTTGGTAACTTAGACATCCCTGTATTGCCTGTTAGCCTTGGGCTGGGTTTATGCATGCTCCTACAATTAAAGAAAATGCTTTTGTATCTGTCCTGTTTTTGACTGCAACACTAATTTTATATATTTGTCTTATTTATTTTTCTTTATTTGGCTTAATAGCATTTCATCTATTTTATAGTTGTTTTTTACCCAAACAACCAGCTCTGTGACAATTCTGCAAATGTGAAGTTAGGTTGTTTAATTTCTCTGCTCAAGTCATATATTTTGGATAATCTAAATTATCATTTCATATTTTTCTTTCTCCTTTAAGAAAAACCTTTGAAAGGAGATATTTGTCTACATTTTCTTTTTTTTTTAAATTTGTTTCAGTTTTAAATGGACACATTTATTTATTTTTGTGTGGTGCTGAGGATTGAACCCAATGCCTCACACATGCTACCACTGAGCTACAATCCTAGCCCCTATTTGTCTACATTTTCTTCTAAAAAATGTGAATGTTTTGCTTTTCATACTATTATATGTGTGTGCATGCATGCGTGTGTGCTAACTGTAAGGTAGAGATTAGTTTTTTATTTTTTCCAAAATATAACCAGTGACCTATATGATAATGACATCATCAAAGAATGACCCATCCTTTTACATTAGTCTATAATAACAGCTGTGACATATATAAGGTTTTATATAAATATGGGTTTATTTGTGGTCTCCCTATTCTGTTCCACTGGTCCATCTCTTTTTTTCTGTATTTGTAGACCACTGAGTGTGTGTGTTTTAACCATAGCTTTCTAATGAGTCTTGATATCTGGTACAGGAAGTACCCTGCCCTGTTGACTTTCAGGAGTGTCATTGCTATTCTAGTCCTTTGCTTTTCTACCCCAGTTTTAGAATCAGCTCATCGACTTCATAGGGAAAAAACAAGTGTGTGGATCTGTGACTGAGATACAGTGAACGTCTGGATCAAACAGGGGAGAATAGACAGTTTTACAATACTGTCTATTAAACCATCAACATGATATGTTTTTCCATTTATTTAGGTCTTCTTTAATGTCTTTTAGTAAATTTTTATAATTTCATTAAAAAAATTTGGTACAACTTTTATTATACCTAGATCTACTATTTTATGCATTATTGTTCTTTAAAGGTACATTTTCTAATTAATTTTTACACATATATAAATGAAATTTTTACACATATATAAATTTTTCATAATACCTTGATTCTCATATACTGTTCTTATATCCAGAAACTTCGCTAAACTTTCTTATTAATTCTACTGATTCAAGGGTTTCTTCTGGGTTTTCTGTGTGTTAATCACATAATTTGTGATTCATCATAGTTTTAATTCTTCCATGTATATTTTATCTCTCTTTTTTCTTGTTTCATTTTCTTGCCTTATTGCACTGGCTAGGACATTCAGCTGGATGTTTTATGTAACTGGGTATTCATTTAAAAAAGAATGTTTTTATGTTTCACCATTGAGTATGAAATTTCTGAGGAGAACTATCACTAGTTAGCTAAGTTTTTATCATGAATGTTGCTAAGTTTATTGAATATTTTTTTTG